ATTCCTCAATCCGAGTCGATATCCATTACTCCAGCGTCCCTTCCTATATTTATATATACTATCTTCATTTATATTTGATATGCATATAATACCCTTATTTTTTTCAGTAATTGCAGAAAGGTATTTGCAAGACCAATGTTCATAGGTTATTTGTCAACACTCATGGATTTTCCACGCTTCTATCTAGATCTCTACTTAGTTATCAAGTTTAGTTTCCAGACGAATTTACTTGTATAGTGAGATTGATCGTCACTGGGTGCCCTTCTGTTAGAATAAATATATTATTCTATGAATACTTGTATCAGCTTTCTTTTGAGGTCTTATGAAGATCAAGTAATCGAAAGTCTCTTGAATAGATCTATGCTCATTTTAGCATTTAGTTATTATTATTTTTTAATGTCCAGTTATAGTTTTTGCTGCGGATCACGTGACAAAAGTCCCCTCGGCCGTCCAGCGCCCTTCTCAGTATTCGTAATTTCTTACACGTTAATTTTCCGTAGTGCTGTTTATTTGTAATTTACTAATCTAAGATTAGTAAATACCTATGCGTACCAACCATTATTAAGGTTATCTGACAGACTAATTTACTAGTTTGATCCTCGATGGGTACTGTACTCCATATATTTAACTATGTGAAGATTAGTGATTAACTGTATCAAAAGATCACTACCATTGTATGATGGTTATAATGTTTAGCTTTCAGATGAATTTGTTCTTGTAGTGAAGTTGATCTTCACTGTGTGTCCTTCTTTTATAACCTTCTGTTAGAATAAATACAGTTGACTATTGAACTGTATTGTAGTTGATATAGTTTTATAATGGTGTTAGTGATTAGCGTTCAAGCACAGATGAAAGCCAAGAATTTGAATGACGATTTTCACAGATTTTTGTTTTATCTGGAATCTGGAATCTTCTAAAAATAATTTTATTCCCATTTGACCTTGTGCCTTAACTTCGTGGCTGAGATAGATATTTCACATTGCTACCGAAAGGTATGTTTGAGCTTTCAATGCTGATTCGCAGGACTGGCGCAACACTATTTTTCTGCTAGCTTTTCTTCTTTTTTGAATTTTTGATATACTAAGCTTAACGAGAAGAAAAAAAACGAAAAATCTATTTAAAAAAAAAAAAAAAATTTTATGTCAGATTACTCTACGCTACTTTGTAACCTTGAATAACCTGCAGCATGATCAGGTCATAGTGACTAAAGCGGTTCCCCCACCAGGTTTTTCAGATGATGGGTGGCTAGACACACAGTAGAATTAAAAGCAAGTCAAAGAGCAGATTAACATTATTATAGTGTCAACGACCATCTAGCAGATTTGAGCGAGACAGGACTATCTATGCAGTCAGTACCGTGTTGACACAACATCGCTGGGTGGGGAGCTTCCTAGATTGAATTCAACCACCAAAACGGAGAGTTCCTTCAATGACCATGTGTCCGTGACCAAGGCGAACCTTCAAATTGGATGGCATCGGCTTGGGTTTGACCTGGAGAAGGATAGGCTCCGCCAGGCCTACTTGTCGAACACATGTTACGCATGAATGAATACATCACCGGCTTTCAACCTAAATATGTGAAAAGAACTGGTCAGTTTCTCAGTCGCGCAATGACCCTACGACCACACTCGGTCATGGAGCTAATAATGATGATGAAATTAAACGAAAAATATAAATAGAAAGAAAATAGCAAAGGTTAGAAAAAATGAACACATGTTCAATGGACGCGATAGAATTCTGAAAACAATCCCAAGTATTTTTTTTTCTATCTTATATCTGGGCTTTTTGTGCCTAACATTTCCTCTTGCTTTCTGGTTTTCTCAAGAAAGGCTGAAAACAGTAGGAAAGACAATTCTGAACTATTTTCACTGATATTCTGACAGGGACATTTTGCTTTCCTTTTAACGGATGGCAAGTATGTTTATTTGTTTGTGGGGTTTCTTTCTGAAATTTGAGTAAAAAATTTGCCCTTACCTTTTTTAGCACAGTTTTTGTTGGTTGACTTATCTTTTGCTTTAACTGTTAAACTGGATTACTTACATACTTATGTATGTATCTGTGTATTCCTATTCCTCTGTCAGAATGGACAAGCCGGTGCAATTCAGTGCGTTATCACAATTATCTTCCTCCATTAACAAAAAAAAAAAAGGGTAAAAATGTATGGAAAATTGCTGAATATCTGTCAACATTAAAGGAAAACGAACGTAAAAATCATCATCATTTTTATACCCTGTCGCTTCAGGAGGTGAGCGATCATGGCTCTCCACAACTTCCTGTTTCATGTAACTTTAAGCAACGTTTGACACTACCATAACTCCGTGTCCCTGCTCTGCTATCCATTCACAGAAATTCATTAAATTCCTCGCTGTTTCTTTCTACCTCTCCTCCCCGTAATAAGTCCTGTGAGTATTAAGTTTTCTAAACCATCCTTTCTCGGACATTTCAATTGACTTTTTCTGATTTTAAGTGCGAAAGTCTTTCTAGCTCCCAGTTTTTTTTTAGAACTTCTTCATTGCACACATATTCCGGTCATAATATTGTCAACATCCAACTACAGAATCATATCTCCGTCACTTAGTGTTTTTTTTTTTTTCAACTGTGTAAAATCAAAAATGCCCGGCACTCACTACCATACAGGAGGACAGATATAACAGCTGTTTAGATTTTTTTTTGTTTCTAATTCCGATGTATTAACATTTTGTTTAGTTTAGTTTCTGGAAGGCATCTGTAAATATTCCGATTCGCATTCGGATCTCAGCATCACACTTTCTGTCTTCTGTTAAACATAAAAATAGACAGTTAATAAACTAAGTTTAATCTGGCACAAACCCGTAAGCTCTCATGACGAGTAAATTGTAATGGTTTGCAAGATGTGTTCACTCATCATTTCACTATCTCATTCTCTCTCTCACCCGCTCTTTATATATATATATATATATATATATATATATATATATTTCTCTCTCTTTCTATGTATATATATATATATATATATTAATTTTATATATATATATATATATATATATATATATAAATTCTTTCTATAGATACATTAATTCTTCATATATATATAATATTTCTGTAGAAAAAGTTGCAAATTAAAAAAATAATGTTTTTTATGAAAGTATTTATTTATTTATATATATTTGATATTTCAGATCGACCTCGATCTTTCTTCATAAAAAACATTGTTATTTATTTAATTTGCAACTTTTTTCTATATATACATATTAAGAAAGTATACATGGCTTCTCATTATAATATTTCTATAAATATATAGACACATTAATTCTTTAAATATATATATGTCATGGATCCTTACCTATAACTACAGAATGAACTCTTCCTAAAATTATGTATACTACGCCTCTCAAGAGAGAGGGTCGAATCGAGTGGAGCCGATAGTAGTTCACTCCAAACCAGACTGACAGTCATACCAACATCTTCCACATCTTGTATTATTATTTCGTGTAATATACCTTCGTTATTTCTACTTTTGTGTTCGTGTTGTCCTTCCTTGGTCCTAACCTGGACCATAACAATATATATAATAAGTATATAAATACATTAATTATTTATATATATATAATTCTTCATATATATATATATATATATATATATATATATATATATATATTAATTCTTTCAATAAATATATATGTATAGTTCTTTGCATATTTCTAAAGAATTAATGAATTTATTTTAAATCAGATATATTTATTACTTCAAATGTTATTATAATGGTCATTTTCGTATTTCCAATAACCAAAAAATACTATTCTTTAAAGAGTGCTCAATACAGAGTAGAAAAAATATAATTTATTCGACAATTATAACATAAATATGTTATAAAATCACTACAAAAATAGTTATTTTGTTTCCACACTTCTGATGTCTTATCAAGTGATGGTATTGAATGTAGAATAAAGAGTTTTAAAAGGTTCAAATCGACCAAACACTCCTCGTTTCCCCTATCGATATGTATATAAGGGAACATTGAAGTCAACACCCAACGACACAGGCATGCTTAAATACAATCTTCAGACCTGACGACTGCGTAATCGATGGCTGACGCAGTTGATGGTCTGTTATTATGTTTATGCATGAAAGAGATTATCTCCATTGTTTAAATATACCACACCTTAAAACTATATTTTTATCATATATATATATATATATATATATATATTACTTCAAAAGTTATTTTATTGGATACCCGTGTTTGAAATAGACATCCCCTTTTAAAACTTTTAAACTATGTTTATCGCCCTGCACACTCGCAAGATCTTAATAAAAAAAACGTGCTCGAGTCTATAGGCCGACAGACGCAAAATACACAATGTTTAAATTTAAAACGGGGTGTAGAAAAATCCTTTTAAATTTTCAATTCTCTTTTCTTCACTGTTACACATCGCTTGATGTCGCAATGTTCTGTGGCGTGTCGTAGAAATGGTCAATTCAAAATTTTGGTAAATTTAAATAAATCAGCCACAAAATCATTTCGCATGCTAACTGAAGTTTGTGTGGAAGAATGCACGTGTGTGTTCGCGTGACCCACGGAACTTTGTGAAGATTTAGTTTAGATGTTATCGAAAAGTATGAATGTTATCGTCTTTAGATCTTCGCGAAAAATGTGCCTAACGGTTTCTTTATTGATGGAAACTCTATTTCTGAATTTGTACTGAGTTCTCGTTCATTTCAAACGGTTTGTTCGATTTTTTAAACATTTTCACCGGTTCTTGGCATGCACGGTGTCGATATCATTTATACCTGTTTAAAGTGTGTGTTCAAGATGTGTGTGCCTGTAGGTGATGCGTGGGGAACTGTGTGAAAGTTTTGTAGGCGTGTGTGAAGGTTTCATGTGTGTACGGAATATGTACGTTCATATATGTGTTTATTTTAATGGTAAGTATTTGTAATGCAAGAAGACATTTTAATCAAGTCTCGACGTCTAACAACTACGACCCACAAACACGACCTACAACCACTTACAAGTGTCAATGAATATCCTTTTCATTCCTTCTCCCTCTCTCCACCTCTCTCTCTCTCTCTCTCTCTCTCTCTCTCTGAAAAGCTTTCTTTCTCTGTCAACCTCCCTCTTTCTCTCTGACAAGCTTTCTCTCTCTGCCAACGTATTTCTCTCTCTCTCTCTCTCTTTCTGACAATCTTGCTCTCTCTGTCAACCTCTTTCTCTCTTTCTCTCTCTGACAAGATATCTCTCTGTGTCTTTCTCTCTCTCTCTCTCTGACAATCTTTCTTCTTTGTCAAAATCTTTCTCCCTCTTTCTCTCTGACAAGTTTTCTCTCTCTGTCAACCTCTTTCTCTCTCTCTCTCTCTTGCAAGCTTTCTCTCTCTATCATCCTCTCTCTCTCTCTCTCTCTCTCTAACAAGCTTTTTCTCTCTGTCAACCACTTTCTTTATCTCTCTCTCTCTCTCTCTCTCTCTCTCTCTCTCTCTCTGACATGCTTTCTCTCTGTCAACTTCCTCGCTTTCACTCTGACTAGCTTTTTTCTCTCTCTCTCTCACTATTTATTTCTCTCTCTCTCCCTCACTCTTTCTTTCTCTCTCTCTCTCTCTCTCTCACTCTTTCTTTCTCTCTCTTTCCACATCACGTTCAGGAATAAACAGGGACGTTCAAAATTCAAAAGGGAGTTCTCAAATGACTGAATCCTCTGGAAAGAACTGACCAGAAACATTGCGTTGGTGTGTTTTACGTTAATTGGTCGGGGGTGATGAAGGTGTTGGACTAATATGGATTCCACCGCCTCATGCGGGTAAACAAGATAAGATAGGGGAAAAAACGAAAGAAAATAAATTATTGATGTGACACACACAAAAACGCACGCGCACACACATACACACACACACACACATACACACACATGTATATATATATATATATATATATATATAGATAGATAGATAGATAGATAGATAGATAGATAGATAGATAGATAGATGCAACAAGGATTGCTGAAATGTTCTCAGGCTGCCAAGATGGGATTTAAAAATGTTTGATTATTTGGACACACACACACAATATATATATATATATGTGTGTGTGTGTGTATTTTCCAGTTGTGAAAATTCTTAAAACCTTTGTCGAGATTCTGTATCCTATTTTAAAAAGATAATATCAAACCTAGATGAGTACAAAACCAAACTCACAAAAAAATAGAACACTTTATAAAATGCATAAGATGGAAGATATTCTATTTCCTCAACAAAGACAATGAGAATGGTAACAACCACTGATTATACCAATAATATTAACAAATTTGGATTTACATCAATGAAAAAACCACAACAAAACAACCTCATTGCTTTTGAAAATGACTTCAAAAACATAATCAATAATTTGGAAATAAGAAAATTTAAAAATAATTTCCAAAAAAGACTGGAAAAAGATCAAAAAAATGATAGACAACGCAAAACACTATTTATGAAAGCAGATAAATGCAAAGATAATCTATAAAATGGAAAACCAACAATTACAATAAACTAGTTGACAAAGATGTCACTAATTTTTACAAAACCACTAATAACGAAACAGAGAGTGATATAAACAAAGAAGCTAAAAGCATAGAACCATTTATTCAATTTTTAATTTAATAAATGTTTCTACTTTTGCTAATTATTTTATTCTATTGTCTAATTTTAGTTTAGTGGCCATCAGGACAATTTCATGACCAAACCTCTAAACCCCACAAAAAGCAACATTGGGAAAATAAGCAAACAAATATTAAAAAAAAAAATATGCTCCAAACAAAAAACATACTAAACATAAACCAATGGAAAAATACAAAAGCAACAATCAATTAGTTTACTAACATTAGTAATAAAGAAAACTGCTCTTTCACGCAATTAAACATAATATACTACCCATCTATTAATGAGCATACACTAAACAACGCATTAAACTTAGCAAAACAATACATGAATATCCCCGATGAGGACATAAATATAATTAAATACTGCCGAAAATCAATATAATTCCACAATAAAAAAAAAATATGGACACAAAATGGCCATAATAATAACAATAATAACTTTGACGTAACAATGGGTAACTATGGTGATGCAGATGTGTGCGAACTCATAGGTATATACATAATCAATAAATTATCAAATATTATTTTAAAAGATATAGGTCTATAAAGGGACAACAGTCTATTAATTTTAAGAAACTGAAAAGGCAAAACTACAGAAAAATAAGACAAGAAATAAAAAAAAAACAATTCAAACAAAAACAACAGAAAAAGAAATATAATTTGGTTCACCCCCACCCAGAACAAAACAATAAAAACAAAAATAGGGGAAATATTCTTCGAAATAATTGACAAGCATTTACCTAAAAAAAGCAAATTCTCCAAAATTATCAACAAAATACAAACGAAATCAGTTACAGTTGCATGGATAACATGGAGAAAATAATAACTAAGCACAATAAACAATACTCAACAAAAATCCAATAACAATTACAACTATAACATGCAGCAAAATAGCACCATTAAATGTAACTGCAGAAATAAAAATTGCCCACATAACAGTAAATGTTTAACCAATAACATAATATACAAAGCTATTGTAACTAATAACATTAACACAGACGAAAAAATTTACATAAGCGCCACAGAAAAAAAAAACTTTTAAAGAAAGATATTATAAGCACAAAATGACATTCAAAAGAAAAGAAATGTACAAACAATACAACCTTATGAAAATGCATATGGAGCTAAAAAGAAAACAATTTCCCCACCAAAATTAAATTATGAAAAGATCAGCCCTAAAACAGTAAAAATTGTAAATTATGCTTAGAGGAAAAATCAGCAATAATTAGTTTTAAAAACCAAAATAAACTCTTAAACAAGAAAACTGAAATAATGGGTAAATGTAGGCATATAAATAAATACTTACTTTGCCATCTAAGCACAAATTAAAAAAAAAACAAATAAATAAATCAAAATAAATATATGAAACCAATATAATATAAACTTAATTTATTGATAAGTAAATAAACGAACAAATATTAAACATACACACCTATACACGTGTGTGTACATGTACGAATAAATGCATAAATACACACACACACACACGCGCACACACCAAAAAGCGAACAAACTTAACTTCCCTAATTAATACTTCAATATACAGCACCAATGGGGAAAACAAATAATCTACTAACCATTAAATAAAACTGAAACATTAAAAAGACGATAAACGATAACATATGATATAAGCATACACTTTAATACATATACGTTATTTAACAATTACATATGTGTGTGTATGTGTATGTGTGTGTGCAGCGTGCGTGCGGTACGTGTGTGAATGGGCAGGAGGATATATGTATATATATATAAACAACAAATTCTATTAATCCAATCAACCATGATTAATACCGTAAAAATAGAAAAAAATAAATTCACTATTTAAGTACTAGTTTATTAATAGCAAAGCACAGACATAAGTGTGCATGTACCTGTGTACACATGTTTGTATGTATATGTGTGCGCGTACGTATACCTATATACGTGAGTACATAGATGTACACGTGTGCGCATATATAAGCGTATAAATACAGACATATGCACATAAATTCAAACAATAATAAATAAATTTAATTGTAATCTAACCGCCTACAATTAATACTTATGATACCACCAAATCAAATTAAAAAATGAAATAATAGCTTAGTGAAGATATATAAGTATGTGTGTATATGTGCATATATGTATATATATATATATATATATAGGTGTGTATATACATATATATATGTGTGTGTGTATGTGTGTGCATGTGCGTGTATATATAAATATAAGTATTCCCATTTCAGCATTAATATCATAACTACGATATATATATATATATATATATATATATATATATATATATATATATATATATATTGAATATTTATCATTTAAATATTAATATCAATTATTTATGTAAAAAGAAAACGAAATAAACTTCCCTAACAAAAAAAAATAAATTAAAAAATTAAAAAATAAAATAAAATAAAAAATAGAACACCCAAAAATTAAAATCGGTTGCATGTCTAAAGTCGCCACAAAAAAGATGACTGTCTAAAGAAAAGAAGAAAAAGGAAAAAAAAGAGAAAAAGCTAAAGAGCGAGAGTAAAGTGAAAAGAAAGGAAGAGGACAAATAATCAGGACACCCTACACGTATGCACATCCACGCAGACGGGCGCACGCGCACGAACTTACTTCTGCAGGGACGAGCACATGGCTGCATGCGCACAAACGCAGACAAAAAATAATTATCAGTATTATTATTAAATTAGATGTAATAATGTTCAATACTTATCGAAGATGTAATCTAGAGTTTCGTAATTTTCAAATCAGTCATTGGGACTTTCAACAAGAATAACTGCATTGATCACAGAAAATCAATTAAATAGATTTTAAATAGATTTTAAATAGAATAAATATCTATAAAATAGATTTTAAATGTATTTAATTGATTTTCTGTGATTAATTCAAACATTCGTGTTGAAAGTTTCGATGAGTGATTTGAAAATTATCAAACTCTAGATTACATCTTCGATAAGTATTGAACATTTTTATAAATTCTCTTAGTTTTATTAATATTTCTAGTATTCTCATAGTTTTTTATGAGTAAAAGTGTGTAGAAACTGTTCATAATGATAAGAACCTGGGACATTAATTACCATGGACAGTTTCCACACTGACTTCGTCCTCAAAAAAGAAAAACAGTAACAATACTAGAAAAATTTAATTAAAAATTTTTATCCGTCACATTCACTTATATATATATATATATATATATATATATATATATATATATATATATATATATATATATATATACTTTAAAAAGTCAGAGGGCAGTTGAATCCGCTACCTTTTATATATATATATATATGCATTACAGAAAGAAAAGATGGAGTAAAAATCCACTGTTCGTAGTATTTATTTTTAAAAAGTGCTCGATACAAAGTTGAGCAATATAT